AATGGAAATATAATTATGGGTTGGTACTAGTGGAATGCGACTTGGCAAGTAGACCTTATTCTATACCAATTGACAATTTAGCTGATTATTGCCCATTATGGGGTCATAAGATTGGTTCAAATGTATATTTAGCTTTGAAACATGCTATATTTGACAAATGATTAAATGATTATTTATCTGTGTAAGATATTTCAACTTTATCAAAAATTTGTGAACTAAAATTAAATTAGTCTTGAATAATAAAAATAATTTAGTCTTGAGTTTTTTTATTTGTATTAATTATATTTGTATTGGTTATATTCAGTTAAAAATGCTTTTTAATGGTAATTATTCTTTATGTTTCTTTTCATGAAATTTTAATTCTTGTTTTAAATTCTTGTTGCTTCCTTGCTATATATTATATATTTGAAACATGCTATATTTGACAAATGATTAAATGATTATTTATCTGTGTAAGATATTTCAACTTAATGGAAAATTTGTTAACTAAAATTAAATTAGCCTTAAATAATAAAAATAATTTAGTCTTGAGTTTTTTTTTTCTATTAATTTTATTTGTATTGGTTATATTCAGTTAAAATGTTTTTTTTATGGTAATTATTCTGTTTTGTTTCTTTTCATGAAATTAGAATTCTTGTTTTAAATTCTTGTTGCTTCCTTGTTATGTATTTAATAGCTTCTTAATTATCTACCTACTCATATAATTGTTTATGACATTAAAACAAAATGATATTTTTAATTGTTTTTTTTTAATTAATAAATACAACAATAATTATTCACACAACAGCAGTAGTTTCAGAACATTTAATGCTTGGACATTATCTAATAAAAAAGACAACATATTGTTTCTGTACTATTTTTTATATATATTAAAACTTTATTTTCAATAATTTTTTATTAAAGAGTAGTAAATCAGGTAAACAGTGAAATAAAATATTAAAAAAATAGAATTGCAAAATGTACTTAAATCAACAGTTTTTAGTTATGAAAATTTTTCTGCTTTAAGTTGTGTTATATTATTGTTTAAGTTAGCATTTATTAAATGTGTATAATAAATAATAAATTTATAAATATGTTTTTGACAGTTTTATATTTGATAGTATTAAAATATAAATACATTTATATTATTATTATTTTATAAAACATTAAAAAATTTACGTGACTTCTTTTATGAATTTATTTCTCAGAGATTATGGAAAATTTATTACGAGGAAAACTAATTAGTGTCTTTCCAACAATGGATTCTCAAGAAGTTACTAAAGTCATCAATGGTTTATTGTTACTAGGCCTTGAGACGGAAGGGGATTTAAAATATTTAAAAGAGCAAGACCTAATAGCATTGCTTCCTCCAATTAAGTCTAGACGTTTTTTGTCTGTTTGTCAACCAGTTGAACTATTACTAACAAATGCTTCTTTAAGTTTGATCTCTCCAGAACCCTTTAATTCAAGTATTATTACATCTTCAGATTGGGCCCAATCGTTTATTGTAAACTGGGAAAAGTTTCCATTAGATTTTTTGAAAGATTTAAACAATAAGCAAAAGCCTACTGAGTCAAATATCCGACAAATGGTTGGATTATTAATGAGTGATGTATTTTTGTTTGATCGTAAGCCAAGTCGACAAAATTTGCGTATTATAGCTCAAAAGGTTGTTTCAAGGTAAAAATATTTTTTTCATTTTAATAAATAAAATTAATACTATTCATCAGATTAATAAAAACTCAAGTTAAGATTTATAAATCAAGTTTTAGATAACAACTTTATTTAACATTTTTTATTTTAGATTTCCTGATTCGTTTGTAGATGAAATAAATGGAAAAGTAATATCCAATGGAGTTGAAACATTATTGTTTAGGATGGAATCCAGAAAAGAAAATGCAAATTGGAATGTTTCACCTGTTATATTAACAAAAGAATTACACCTGTTATATTAACAAAAGAATTTTTGTTAATATAACAGGTGTACTAGAAATTTATTATATCGATTTATAATCAATTTTACTTTAGAGATTTGATTTTTATTTTTTTTTGTAAGAGGAACAGCTTAAACAAATCTATAGAATTCTGCCTTGGAATACAAATGATGTTAAAAAATTTATGGCGGATACTTATTCACTACAGCGTCAAACAATAAATGCTGTCATTCCTTTTGCAGAAGTATTGATTGAAAGGCCGTTTCTATCTCAAATAGAATACCTTCAGGACCATTTTTCCACTCTGATGAATTTTTCATTAATGGAAAGGTTAAATAGTACAATCAGCACCAAATCAAGTCTTATTCACAATTTTTTTCAATTAAATGTAGCAAAGATTTAGTTAAGCAAGTTCTGCTTGAAGCAACAGTCATATGCATGGAAAATGGGGGAAATGCACGAGCTGTTTGTTTGGCGTGGCTACCTCTGCTTATAGCTTATTTTGGCGATAAAACTGATCATTTGATACAATCAGTAAATGTATGTATTTCTTTATAAATTTTTTATTTTGTTTTAAATGATATAAAGTTTAAATGTTGTTTATTTTGTTATTAGCGTTTAGCATCAATTCAAGAAATTGAAGAAAATTGTCAAACATCACATTCTATAATTGTTTTAAAAGGTAATTTGTGACTCGGACTAACATTGAGAACTAAATATATCATATGTAATAAAATATATCAAAATACCAAAATGTAAATTACTAAATCAAAATATTTTATAAAAGAATAAAAATAGTTGGATGTTTACTTTATTGATTGGTGCACAGGAACTTGGTTTGATTCAGAAGATTTTTAATTTTTGGTGGAAAAGAAAGTGTGCTATACCTTCACTGATGCTTTGCCAGCCATTGGGGCAATGTTTGCTGTTCATTATGTAATGAATATGCAATATCATCCAAATGTTTTTGCTTCATTAGAGTTTATTCAAAGGTAAGATTATTTTAAAATAATATTATTAATTTAATTGTATAAGTTTGTTTAAATATTTTGATCCAAATAATTTGAATTAGAGGGTAATGCTTTCCATAGAATCAACACTTAGATTTACCACTAATTATATATATATATATATATATATATATATATATATATATATATATATATATATATATATATATATATATATATATATATATATATATATATATATATATATATATATATATATATATATATAATATATATTATATATATATATATATATATATATATATATATATATATATATATTATATATATATATATATATATATATATATATATATATATATATATATATATATATATATATATATATATATATATATAATATATATATATATATATATATATATATATATATATATATATATATATATATATATATATATATATTATATATATATATATATATATATATATATATATATTTATAT